CCTTAAGATCTTTTTGAAGTCGCTGCAACTTCTCTTCCCATTCTTTAGGCAGTGGGGCATCCCAGTCAAGTTTTAAAAACCACAATTGCTGATAAAACATTTTCAACTTGACTGTACATGGTGATAGCAAGCCAAGAGGATCAAAGATTTTAGAAGATTGAGAAATGAACCTTCTTTTAGTAATTTCAGTCCCAAAATCCATAGAAATGTTAAATAAAAATACTTCTTCTGTAGAGTTCCAAAACAGCCCTAAAGCCTTGGCACATTCATCTGAGTGAACTTCCAGGTCATCTTCTTCATGATTATCAATGGATAAATTTTCGAGAAGCTTTGAGCAGTTTGATCCTCCATTTCCTTAAATTAAATCCACGTTTCTGTAATAGCTGTGAAAGCTTAGAGCATAGGTCAACTGCTTCCTCTAAACTGTTTGCTCCAGATAAACAATCATCTACATAGAAATCATTTTTAAGAACGGAGGATACATGAGGATGATCCTGTTCTGCATCCAAAGCAATTTGCCACAAACAGCGTGTTGCTAAAAATGGTGCAGATGCAGTGCCATAACTAACTGTACATAATTTATATGTCTGCATTTTTGAATTAATAGATTCTCTCCAAACAATTCTTTGTAAATGTTGATCCTCATTATCTACTAAAATCTGGCGGTACATTTTTTCTATGTCAGCAGAAAAAGCTATTTTATGTATACAAAAGTTGAGCAATATTGAAAATATATCTCGTTGTAGTGTTGCACCTACCCCTAAAACAGAGTTCAAAGAAACTGAATTTTTAGGTTTACATGAACCGTCAAATACTACACGAAGTTTAGTGGTAGAGCTACTTGGTTTAACAACAGCATGATGCGGTAGATAATATACTTGCTTATTTTCTTCATTCTCAACAACTGGAACCATATGATTTAAAGTTTCGTATTCTTGCATGAACTCCTATGTATTGCCTACCAAGTTCTTTATCTAAATCAAATTTTCTTTCCATGGATAGAAGACGAGAAATAGCCAAAGGTTTGGAGTCGCCTAACTCTTCAGCATTACTGAAAACGGGCAGTCGGACAACAAATCTGCCATTTCCGTTTACTCGATAATTTTCTTTAAAATGCTTCTCACAAAACTCTTCTTCAATCGTTGATTTCTGATTTTGGAACGTTAATTCTTCCAACTCCCAAAAACGCTTAAGTGTTGCATCGACGTTATCCTCAATATGTAAACTAATGCGATTAACACTAATGGGATGCGGAGTATTGCCTTCTGTTTTAATTCTGCCTGATACAACCCAACCAAAAATAGTATTTTGCGCAATTACATTTTTATAGCCAACAAATCTGCCCTGGCTGAAGCAGAGAAAAGAAATAGTCAGCTCCAATTATCATGTCTATTTGTTTGGGCGTACTGAAATTTGGATCTGCAAGATTAATTGAATTCAAATAATCAAGGTCCTTGCTATCAATCTTTACTGAAGGCAAATGCGAAGTTAATTTTTTAAGAATATATGCTTGTATTAAACACCATTTTTTTTCAACTCAGATTTCGGGAAACAATTTTACATTTACATAACCACGAGTCAAAGCTGCTTCAGAATCACCAAGTCCCTTTACGCAAATACGGGCATTTTGTCTGCGTATATTTAATTGTCGAATAAATGATTCACTGATGAAAGAAGCTTCACTTCCACTGTCAAAAAGAATGATACATTCGTGACCTTGACCAGCAGAATCGTAAATTATTACTGCCGCCGTTGGTAAAAATGAAGTACTCTGACCCTGAATAGAAAAACTCGAAATATTATTTTGTTCGTCTGAATTAGAAATTTGTTCATCAGATGGAGATGAATTTGACACAACTACGTTAACACTTTTAATATCTTCATGCAGTAAAGTATGGTGTTTTGCTTTGCAAATAGAACACACATTCTGCGATGAACAAAATTTTAATTGATGATTTCCGAAACAATTGAAGCATAATAAATTCTTGCGAATGATATTTTTCCTAGTCGTAATATCTGCACCTTTAAATTTATAACACTTTGATAAAAAATGAGAACCATTGCAATGCTGACATTTTAGAACAGAATTTTTATTATTATGTGAAACATTCTTCGAAACAGAGCACTGATTTTTATGCGATACTCGCTTTTCATTATTATGAGTGTTTAACATTTCAAGTGAAACACATCTTGAGTTTAAGAATTCCAAAAAACATTCTAAGGTAGGAAATTCTTCTTCACCATTTTTTTGTGACCATAAATGGCGCGTTTCTGGATCGACTTTTTCTAACAAAAAATAAATTAGCCAAACATCTCTAGACGAAGCCTTTTCGCCAAGAGATTTTAATCCACGGATAACTTCATCAGATGTATCAGATAGTTTTCTTAGATTAACAGAATCAGCGCTAGTAATTTTGGGTTGCTCAAGAAATGTTCTGACAAGCGACATTACAATTTGATTTTTTCTATCATAACGATTCATCAATTTGTCCCAAGCCTCATCGTATGTAGTTTCGGAAATCGGAATATGCTTAATAATAGCAGCTGGTTCGTCTTTTAAAAGTCCTATCAAATATTGGAATTTCTGAATTTTCGCTAATGACTGATTGGTATGAACTGTCGCCATGTACAGATCTTTAAAATTAAGCCAATCAGTATATTTACCATTGAAACTCGGAATGTTTAAACGCGGAAGTTTAAAGCTAGCCTCAACTGCAGTGGGATTTGAAATCAAAACATTTCTGGCCGTTACGGATTCAATGGCGGATTGATACATTACTTTCGTTTCAAAATATTTAGCTTCGAATTCAGCAATTTCAGAAGCTTCTTCGGGTAAAGCAGCATCATATTGATCAAATTCTTTAAATATTTGTTCAATTCTTTCTAATCGTGCTTTTAATTAATTCCGTTAAACTTAACTGATTACTGAAACTATTGTGAAGCCGCGTTAGGGTAGATTTCGTTCGTCCTCTTAATCTTTTAAGATCAGATTCACTTAATTCTGTCATTATTACCATGAATAATGATTAATAAGCACAAATAACTTCAACAAGATACTTAAGCAGCAAAAAATATTTCCGCTTATCTTTCTGACGTCACGCAGACGATTCGCAGTACCAGTACTTAAAAGTTCGTTAAACACAGTTCTAAAGCATATAATAATAACACATTAAATAGCATTAAATGCCTCACCTGGGGAACCAAATAGTTGCCTTGAACTAAAAAGCATCAGCTTTGTATAATAAACTTTATTGTTATTCTAAAAGATGAAATATTTTAAGAGAAAATTGCCTGCAGCGCAGTGCGGCTAAGAACGCTATTCTACTGAAACATAAACATGAACAACTGTTGCCACTCACACAAACGTAATAGTAAATAAAGCACGTTGCCAGTAACAAGATTATTGCAAAAATCATAACATAAAATTAAGCAGTGAGGAAATAAAATATACAAAGAAAAAAAGAAATGCAAATATTAAATATGCATCCAACATAACTTATCGCGTAAAATTAATAACCTCTAGTAACACTGACCCAACTATTTTAATAACTGCGATTAGTGGTAATTATTAAATCTAAAGCTGATTTTTTTTAAATGGATTTATTAGCTCAGAAAGTCATTGAAGTAATTTAATACATTTCTTTCTTATGATAGCAATTTTAGGCTAATTTTAAATAAATAATATAGCGAATATATAAAAATACATGGCAATCTCTAACATGCTATCAGGAATTCTAAAGATATGCTCGTTTCTAAATATTTCGTGATCATTCTGTTGAATTTAATTTTATGTGGCGTAAATACGAAGTACATGATATTTAATTAAATTGTCAGCACATAAAAAATTAATAATAAAAAAGCAAAAAAGAAAACTTTTTTAGTCAATTTACTAAGAAAACTGAATATTGATATGGTAAACTTAGAAAAGACTGTAAAAATGCAAAAAATATATGGCAAAACTTAAAATAGCATTGGGAATTATTCTAAACAAATCTGTTAAGCACCTTTTAAAGATTTTGTTATTATGTTCTTGAACTGTATGTGACGTAAGTGACAAGAAAACGATGTTTAATAATAAAACTAAAAAGACCGGAAGAAAGGGTTCTGAGGCTTATAGCAGAAATGAGTATAAGAGCAGACGGGTACGCTGCAAGCTCAACTAGAGCGTACAATACCCTAACAAACCTTTTAAATCGGAAAACTTTCAGTTTTTTTTTAACCTTCCTTTTAACTTTACTCAAAACATTGTAAGTTGTAGCACCCAACAAAAGTAATACACTGATGTTAAATATGTTTATTAATAATAAAGTTGAAAAGATAAACAATAATAAGATTGAAAAGATAAAGATAAAAGGTTTAAAAGATAAACAATAATAAGATTGAAAAGATAAAGATAAAAGGTTTAAAAGATAAACACGTTGCTGGTGCATCATTCAGAATAACCTGACCTTAGTGCCCATTGAAGGGGTGAAGCAGGCGGAATAATAAATAAATAAACAACCTTCCTTTTCTTTTATTTGATTCATTTTCAGTTTGTTCATTTCTAGGAGATAATAGAATTGGATATAGCATATAAAAGTTTCGGTCTCATCTATTTAGTTATGAGTAATGAGGTTCCACTATATTTACATAATTTTGCTTTTTAAATAAGAATAAAAAGAATATGCTTTCAATTACGTTAGTAATGTTTGTAAAGCTGAATAATATAGACAATTAAAATTTAAAATTTTTTTTATTATATACCTCACAAAAATTTAACAGCATATTTCATGCTAAAGTTATTTTTACGAAATTCTTTTGAAAAGTAAACGTACGCTACACCATTTACGCATTTCATACTTATCGGTAGCTGTTTAATATTCATTACAAAAACAGAAAGAAAATAAGTGAATTGTGCACCAAAGCAAAAAATGTATACTACTGTATTATTATTAGCCATTATAATTTATTTTAATCTGCTTTTGTAACCAAGAAATGAAATAGAATATTTCTTATTTCAGCCACCAGATGGTGCGAATGATGGCGGAGGATCCATTACAGGATATTACGTTGGTTATAAAGCTACGAAAACTGGAGGGCAGTACCTATTCAAAACTCTTAAAGTTAACGAAGATTTTGAAAATGAATGTGTTCTGACCAATCTATTGAGTTCAACAGAATATAGCATAGTAGTGCAAGCTTTTAATGAGAAAGGTCCTGGACCTCAGTCAGATGAAATAGTAGCACAGACTTTAAAATTTGGTAAGTATTAAAACTTTTTATTAAAATAACAATTTATAAGTGTTCGAAACTCCTTTTAAAGTACTTTCAGTTGAAAAATGTATTATGAAAAACTATGATTTTAGAAGATTTCTATAATAATTAATAAAGAAATAGATAGGTTTGGCAAAGTCGATCCATAATCCGTAATTGCGCAAAATTGGCTTTGTCATTTTATCCGCATTCTTATCAGCTTGTATTACGTGAGCAAATATTTTCCTACATAATATTTGTTTGAAGTAAGATCAGAAGCAGCTTTTAACTACGGAATATTCAGATGCTTGTATTTGTCTTAAGATGATTAACTATAAGCCAGACTTAACTAAACTGGCGTCACAAAGTTCATAATCAGAAGAGCCATTGATAATAAAGAGAAAAATAAAGTTAATTTTATTATGTTTATTTTTAAAATAACAATATTTTTTCCCAATGGCAGATTGTGAACAATTACAAATGTAACCCAGTCCATTAATCTATACAAGGCCGGATGCGGTGGTCTCTTTATTATGGAGGCACCTAACAGGTAGGCCATCATCGCCTTTCCTATGTAGGGACGGACAATTACAACCATACCTCCTCCGGGATTCGAACCTAGGCCCTTCGGCATCGCAGTCAGCTTCCCTGACCACCATGCCGACTGGGCGGGAATATAATAATAATTATAATTAGATTTTTTAAAGCATGTTATAATTATTTCATCAAAAAAACAATTATATTATTATTCTCCAAAACGACTGTTTTAAAACGAAAATGCCACTGACACGGAACATCTTCATAATTCACACAGTTAGTTGATTTTGATCCGTAGTCCAAAAAGGTTGCTGAAACCTAGTGTAGGATTTAATTACTCCTCAAAATTGGAATATGCTGAAGTGAATAATGTTAATAAGAAGTAAATTAAAAATAAAAAACTGGTCACATTGTATTAAACTTAAGTAGGATTAAGTAATTTCGCAATTTAATATTTATAATTATGTTTCAGATCCTCCTAAAAGTCCAACTTTGGAAGCAACGAAAACTACAACAAATTCTATACAAATCCAATGGGAAAGCAGCGGCGATGTTGATGGTAAAAAATATTTCTTTTTTTGGTCAATAAATAATTAATTGTTGTGAACGATATTTTAATATAAAATAAATATTTAACTAAACATAAAAATGTTTACTTGCTTTTTGATGTGATATTACCTCGAGACATGGATTTAAACTTAATAAAAATCTTTATTTCAATACAAATTTTAATTCTGAGTAGTATATACTGAATTTTTCATGAATTATTTATTTTTCCTTAACTAGTCTTCAATTGTTACTCTCAATGAAGTGCCAAAAGTGCACTCTCAAAGTGCCATGTTTTGTGAAAGTTGCATGTGTAATTCTCAAAAAATTAGATCTCAAAATTTTAGCTCTTCACTGTTAATTGAATTTGATGTATATTTCTTTATATCGTTTTCTTATTACGCTTACTTGATTTCTTCTTTCAAAGTTCGAAATTTACGTTCAATTCAAATAAAGCACAAGAAGATAGTTTTTAATTAATTTTTTAAATTTGTATTTTCAGTAAATTTTTAGAAAACATTTTCTAATTATAACCTCTAATATTTTTACCATCACCTTAATGTAGATGTATTTATGTACATGCCTGCAAAAAATTATAGTTTTTTTATTCAAAATTTCCAAAGAGATACGTGAATGTATATGCTGGCTCGTTTTGAAATTTGGAATATTTGTTATAAGCGATAATGACGCCCAAATGTACTTTATTTAATAGGCCTATTGAATATTTAGGCATTATTGAATATTCGGCGTGATTCTAGTCGCAGTATCGAAGAACGGAAAAAAAATCTGTATGTTATTTCAGAAAAGGTCCGCTTTTCTGTCAATACCTATATTAGAACAATGTTATATATAGATCTAATATACATTTTAAGTCGTGCTTTCGAGACATGGAAAACGAAAGTTAAATTTCTCCAGCCCCCCCCCCAATAGAACGGGAGATATAGAACTATGACACTTTGTTTTTGTCTGCAAGATGTACATGTACCCTAAATAATATGCAACTTATTGTTATAATAATTCTTACTTTATCTTTCACTGAAAAGTGTTACTTCTAATTCAATTGCAACTTATTGTTTCAGGTTACTTGGCTTATATGCGAGAAGAAAACGGCGAGTGGAAAGAAGCGACTTTGCCTTCGAACATTCTTAAATATAATTTTGAAAATCTAAAATGTGGGAACGTCTACCAAATATATCTTATTCCATTTACTACGGGTGGAAAAGGAGAAAGAAGTCAAATATTAACAGTCAAAACAGAAGGAAAAGGTTTGTATATTCTGTGGTATTCTTATACCGTGAATAATGTTTATAACAAAGTAAGACGCTTGCAGTATATTTCAACTAAATATAGCGGTAGAACATATTGATCCATAATGACATTTAAAAGTGAATTAATAATATCTTCATATACCTGAATTTTGTTGAAAAATAAAATTACATACATATCATAATCATGATTCGCAATTAGATGTAATTAAAGCACTTTGTCATTAATGTCTCATCCTAAATATAATACAGATGGACTAAATATGGGTCATGATGCCTGGCACTTAATATCTGATGCCTGTAACCTTAATGATTATTATCTGTTACTATTATAATACATTTCTTGGTCATTAAACCATATTAAGACATTGGTTTGAGCTTCGGGCTAAGTAATTTTGCAAATGAAGCTACCATACCTAATTGGGTGATTGTGAACTTGCAGATGGAATAGGTTAAACGTGTCCGACTAATAGTAAATGCAGTTCAATTACTTCAAGTAAGTGCTCGAATATTGCGCGCGTGGACTATCAGACACGAAATATTTAAGTATCGTGTGAAATTACTAATATATTGAGATTGAATTTAGCAGTTTTGCTTATAATCTAACTTTTTTAGTATTTCCCTAGCAGAAAGATGAGCGCCATAATTACACCGTGTCTTAGATTTAGCTTAACTCCACTAACATTTCCAAATGTGGTTTTGGGAAAATGTTACAAAATCAGCGGATTTCTATATATTCATTTATTACATAATTCAAGAAAAGAGTAACATTTTCATATCATCCCTGTGAGCGCAGTGTAGTCAAAGCTATTACAAGATGCCATATTTATATCTTTTTAAATTCATACACATATTTACAACTACTTTATAAAACCATATTTCAGTTTCAGATTGTGATAAAGCGTACCTCTATTGTACAAATTTTAAAAAATCGCCCTATAATTTCCTTGCTTTGCTCGACAAACTAACTGGTTACTTTGCAAGAAAGAACTAAACTTAAACTTTTAATTCTGTCAAAGCATATTTGACACAAGAGTTTTATATAAATGCTTCTTTCCATTTCATTCATAAAAATTCGTAATTGTAAAAAAAGTCAATTTATGTTCTGGTTTATTGTCCAGGGTGGTCGAGTAGTTAGCGGAGGCTCGCTGTTAATCTGAACTCCAGGGTTCAAATTCAAATCTTGCGTAAGTCATGTGTGTTTGTATATGTCCTCCAGTCTTTAACTCTTTCACAGCGAAGCCGCCTGAAATGCCCGTACATTCAGACATCGGCAGGCTGCCTGTGTCTATTTTCTGGTGCTTTACCTCATTACGTTCAGTGTATGGCTCTCGGTTTCGGGAGATGTTAAATGATCATTCTGTGATTAATCATTCTTTTGAAGCTATTAAATGTAGCTCTCTTATTTGAATGCACCTTCCATCTCAACATTTAGCTATTGATGCAATCCTGTTCTAAGGAGAAACCAGACACAGTGGGTGAAACTGCACAAAGCTGCCCAAGAGATAAGTAATCACCTCATTTAAGTAGATTATTGTTAATGTTGTTGCATTCTACTTGGTAAGCGGGGAAGAAAACCATTCCAACAAAAGTTCGAGAAGTTTCAGAAGAACATATTTTGACCAGTACCCATGCGAAAGAGTTACCAGATCACTTCGATGTAGCTCTTTTGCATGTTTGGTATTGCATCTGAAATGCATGCAAACACTTTCAATCGAAATTGAATTATGTCTCATTTATGTTCTTTACGAGGAATAATGTATGTTATTTTCACATTCTTCAATAAGATATCTGTAGTAAATGTAAACTAAATTATGCTCTTAGTTTTATAATAATAATAAATACTAACAAAATATATGATTTTAGCACCCATTGCGCCACTTAAAGAACAGTTTCTTCAAGTTAATGCCTCTTCAGTTACCGTATTCCTTTCCGCCTGGGATGACGGTGGTTGCCTAATTACCCACTATATGTTGCGATACAGGTCCCAAAATGAGCAGAAATGGACAGAAGTTCCTGTTATGAATCACAGACCAAGGGCTTTTATCACAGGACTTATTCCAGGGCACTGGTACAAGCTGATCGCAGGAGCTCGAAATAGCGCTGGAAGCAAAGACGTTGAATTGGATTTCCTTACAAGAAGAACAGACGTTGGAAAATCACAAGGTGAATATTTTCATCATGGAAGATTAAAACTGTTTATATATTGGAAAACTATTCAGAAAATATTATGCTATTTATTTTTATTTATTACAATTAGGAGGGTCACTCTGAAATTTTTAGATGCACATTTTAATGTTATACTGACTAAATTTTTGAAGTGTTCAAAGTACTTTCTCCAGCATTAATGCACTTAAAGATGGTGCTACGAATTTATTAGGTGAATAAATAAAATTAGGCGAATTTTCCAAATATTGAATGCCTCAAGCCATTCATTTCTTGGAATCGATGGGAAAAATGCATATATAGCCTCATCTAACTCAACTTCTGAATGAAAACGAAGTCCACGTAAGTTCTATTTTAGATTAAAAATAGCTAATGGTCAAACATAGCTAGCTCGGATCAATAGGGTGGATGTCCTACCACTCTGATGTGTCTTTATTCAAGAAACTCTGCTGTCAATCTTGTTTAATGAGATGATGCATTTTCATGGGGAAGCATGAGTACTCTGACATTCATTTCTTTAAAAATTTCTGGAAAACACTTAGAGGTGTACCAGTTAGCTGTGACTCTCTCCTGTCCTTCCAGCTTGATGGATTTGGTCAGTCCTATACGTACTAAGAAAACGGTATACATTAATTTTTCATGGCCCGTTTCCTTTTCGGCTGTGAGAGTGGGACTTTTTTTAAAGACCCATACTCTACTTTCTTGACGTGCTGAAACGTCAAAAAATGGTTTATACATTTTGTCACCAGTTTACGATTTTAGAAATACAAAGCGCTGACCACCATCTTTAAGTAATTTATGAGTTTCTTTAATGATTTTGACATGCTCCTCTTTTTGGTGCTCAGTTAAATGATCTGGAACTAGTATTTTCCTATTCGATTCTTCATGAATAATTTTATGTATGGCGCTGCGGATACAATGTTAAGTTTCTATAGCAAACACATTACCCGGGGTGACTGCTCACAGTGTCCTCCTTATGGTTTCTTCATCCTGAAGAGAGTTGTGAGCTGTGTGAAATTCTGTAAACCATCTGAATGCAGTAGCACGAGATGCAACTTCATTTCCAAATGATAACTCGAGACGTAAAACGTTTTCTTTTATTTAATCCCACTTTAAAATCATAGAAAATCATAATGATATAAAATTCTAGCTATTCAACTCCATTTTTCTTCTGCCTGAAATTGATTCGACGCTAAACTACTTTCGATTTACCAATACAATGAGTTTGCTGGGCTAAAATAGTTCATATTAAGCATTTATAGTCTGCGAATATTTAAAAAAATTTCAGAGTAACGCAAGTATACGTTTTCAAAAACTGAATTCTTTAAATTAATTTCGAATTACTTATAAATACCTATTTAATTAGTGTTTTAAATCATTTGAAATTTAAAGTTTCGTATCTTACTACAGAAACTAAAATTTCACAGATATTTTAACTAAATTTTAAATTTGTTTTGCATATAATACAGTTACAAGAATTATGAAACTTAAGAACTCGTTTAGTTGAATACTAAAATAAGTCACGACATTTAAATTTTATTTTCAAATGAGGAGTAGCAGCTAAAATTAGAATTAATTTGTAAGGTCGGATTTAAACAGAGGCAAGATGTAAAGATCAGGAGAGTCTTTTGCTTAGTATGTATGTTGGATGAAATTTAGAGAAGAACCAAGTAAATGTAGCTTTCAAGCAAAGCTGATCTTTAATGTAAATTAATGCTGAGTGCAGCAGACTGTAAAATGAGAAACCTTTTCAAGCATAAACTCGCATCTAAGTTAAATTAGCAGTAAATCTAAATTTAAATAAAATAATTACTATATGGAATTTAAGCTTAACAGAATTTTCAGGACTTTTCCGCTAAATAATGTATCATGTCGAGCAATGTAGATATTGTACTTACGGGTGTTTGATTTTTGTAAAGTGTGTACATACAACATATATTAGTTTCCGCATTAATGATGCTAAAGTGTACTGAGTTTCATAGTTAATGATACTAAAAAGTGCCTTCATACCAAATCCTTGAAATTGCATCTCATCGTTTTGCATGAATTCTAAATGCAGCTATAATTAGCAGCAATATATATATTTTAGTAAATAAAACATCACCTGGCAGATATTTAAAAGGGTTTCTTATGTTTGAGGAACATGTCTAACTTCACAGTTAAATATGTTTAGCATGTAAGGATTCAAATAGCCCTTTTTCGCTGGCTTTGGGATGAATGATATTGAGCTGTTATCTTATTTGTTTATCGACATACATCAGTTGCGGTAGGTAACTATTAAAACGAATTGTCTGTTTTTTTTTGTTGTTTGAATATTGTAAAGCTCATTAGGGGTATATCTCTAAACGGAAGGTTGACTCCGTAGAAGGAAGTGGATATTATGACGACTTATATTTTAAAAATACATAAATATGTACTTAAATTAGCAAAGAAAACCCTTGTACTTGGCGCATATTTAGAGCCCCCCCCCGAAAAAAACTCAAACTATTTCAAGGGCAAACAAGTCCCTCTTCAGCAAGAGAAAAGAAATCTGCAAGACTGGAAAGCAGCGCGAGTAACGTTCCTATTTACAACCTACTGCAGTGAAGCGAACAGGAACGATTTTGTTGTTACTATTGCCGACAGATGACGCTACCTTTCTGTTCACTTTACTGCAGTAGGCCATTACTTCAGTTCCTTTCCAGTCTTCTTTGATGCTGATGAAGAGGACCTGTTTGTCATCGATATCATTTTTTTTCTGTTTAAATCTACGCTAAATATACAAGGTTGCTACTTTACTAATTTTATGTTTCATTTTGCCTTGTTTCTCTTCTGATTTGCATAAGTCTACATCAACTGTGAAAGATTTGTTACGATCATTGAATACATGGATCGAATGGCATAAGATCTCCTGTTCCTATCATAAAAATCAGACTTTTAAAATTGCGAAGTAATACATTGCAGAGCATGTCTTTGGGGAAATAGATAAGTAAATCACTATTTGAAATTTAATGTTATACAGCAGCTGTTTCTAATTCTGTTCTCCGATGAGTACTGAGAAACCCGCCTGCACTTCACAAGAACTCCGAGGTTGTTCCTGTTAAGAATAAATACAAACTGATGAAATTAAAGAATAAGACATTTTTTTTCCTGTGGCGGGCTCTAGCCGTTTATAGGCCACCATTGTCTCCTATGAAAGGACGGACAAATTATATCCACACCTTCTCCGGCATTCTAACCCGTGCCATTCGGTACGGCTCTCAGAGTCCCTAACCACTTCTCCGTCGGGGCAGCAAAGAATAAGAAATAAAATGTTGAATATAAAACACTAAAAATTACAATCTGAACTTACTAAATTTGTTAAATTCAATTTCACATCTCCTCCAGCAAACAAGGCGTCGTTTGTTACTGGAGACCTGCTGTATTTGCTTTCTGTATAATACGAAAATCCCATATCAGGAAAATTGATTCGTATTCTCGTTACAAATTCACGGAAGCTAACATGAAGGCAAACGTTTGTTGAAGCTGAAGCAGAAATAATTGAGTAAAGCATATTTTTTAAAGAAAATTGTTTTGTTTTGTTGTTTCCATAAAACGCTACATATAAATGAACTAAGTTATGAAAAGCAAATTCCGGCTGAATAACATTTTGAAATTTAATCTTAAAAAGATATAACAAAGTAGCATCAGTATGTCTGTTTCTGGATATATGCTTGATTAATTTTATGGAATCATCTGAGGAAGTCTTACTTTTGAACCCAGTCCTTTAGATATGAATACCAGCACATTTAGAACAGTTTCCTAGAAATGATAACTATTTTGAGAAGGTAATTTAACAAATTAGATCTACATTGCACAATATGAGTATAAAGTTAGTTTATATTAGATTCTAAAATCAGTTTTTTGAGGCACTTTGTATATTTCCTGGAGTCTGCATACTTTTAAGTAATAAATAAATTAAGAAGAAAGAGAATATTCTATTTCAAACTAATCTTCAAATGTCTCAGAGAATATGACTTTATCCTTAAGGTACGCTGTTTTTCTGATCATCTTTCTTCTGTTAACGTTTTTAGAATTATTATGAACTGAGACATCCTGATAATCGAAACTTCCTTAGTTATTAGTTGAGGAACAGTTTTTCAATTTGCTTACGCGCATGGCCATGATAACAGGTCATCACACTATTTATGGAAATGTGTAAGGTTCCTTTATGTTATTTTAAAGAGTTATTATGTTTTAGATCTTAACTGTCACTTCGCTTCAATGCCGTTTCAATGCCAGAATGCATATTTAGGTCCAGGGTATCTCAGCTGAGGTTGTTCGGGTCAGAGCATTTTTCTGCTACTCGACGCCATGTTATCGCTAGCTGTGATGAGCAGGATCGGATTTAGATTTGAGGAGATCCTAAGCTATTTGACATATGGAGCCCTTTATGAGGGATATGGGACTTTTTTTTTTTTTTTTTTTTTCTTAATAAGGGATATAGTACACTTTTTGAAAGGGGCGCCAAGATAGTGGGGCCCTAAGCAAAAGCTTGTGCTGTAGCGGATCACCAGTTCCGGATTTACGTATAAACGTAAATCCGGTGATGGTGATGAGATTGTATTGTTTAGCTCTGCATGGAAGTTGCTGATATTTAAACTATTACTCCAGTGAGAAATTTCAGCCACCTTCAAATTAAATCAATTATGTAGCGTAATTTGTAAACTTAAAAAACTTTAAAATTGTAAACTTAAAATTAATAAACTTAAAATTATTATTAATTTTAAGTTTGAATTTAGTGTTACTTAAAGTTACCCAGCCAGAGGTGGTGTCTAAGTTGGCTATGCACGAGTCATGCGTTTATGTGAAAGTGCTAACTTAATAAAAACGTTATTTTTTAAATTTTTAAATTCTTTGTCGTTATCTTCAGATGCAGAGATAATTCGTTCCAAGTCTATTAGGTGTTTAAGCACACGTTACGCTACCAGAAAAAAATCAAACTTTATAAACAAAAGGGCTATTTTTTAAAACTCTTAACATACTTAATGTTTATTTATCAATATTAATATTCGTATTCCAAAGAGTTAGTTGAAGTCCGTTTATTATAATAAGCTATCATCAGAATGGAAGATTATGCTTTATCTTGTAATGTTGGGCAGACCAAGTAATTCTTTCCTTCCAGTAACAATATACTGTATTTAGAGGCTTTTTCCTTTACAAATTTTAAAACACATTTTTATCTGGTCACGAAAAATGGGCAAATTACCTGTTTCGTTTTAATCCAAGATCAATCAATCTGCGCGATTGTTCCAGAAACGTACATTTGTTGAAATTAAATCTAGGATATTTAATTTTCTTCTGTTCTATTATTGGTGGCTCATATTATGGCTTATATTGATGGCTCCTACAGAACGGAATATACCTCCAGAACGATTTAATACAGAGACATGTGATTTGACCAGTGAACGTAGCTATTCTTCCCTTTTATTTTGCTAAAGTTTAGACTTTTTTTTTTTTTTTTCGTTTTCTTTTTTAGCACGTATATGTTTAATTACTTTACTTTTGAAAGCCCAGTGTTGTACGTATTAGTACACTGAAATTTCGTACGTGTTCAAAAAAAAGGTGTCAGTAAAGTGTCAGTTTCTTTTATAAATATTGATAACTCATTCCCTATAACTGCAAATTTAAAACAATTGAATACAGAATATTGTTCTGCAAGAAATTTTAAGCCGTAAATAAGATTAATATCTATCTCTGTATCACGTGAAATCGAAGAAAGTGCAGTATTTATGCCTAAAGCAATTATGCATAAGTTTAATAAGTTTATGTTGTTTTGATAACACCTAATCTGAAATTATTTCAGGAGCATATTTTACTCGCATATTTCTCCTCTTTAAAATTCAGGTATTGGACATCCACCGCCAATCGTGGCCGAGTCATCTGCAATGGAACTCCAGCGGAGAGTTGCTGTGATAACGTCTGCCGTCTGTTCGGCAGTGGTGCTTGTTGTCATTTTGATTGCAGCTTGTGCAGTGCTTACAAGGCGGCGCAGACACAGGCCAGAAGGACACGATTCAGGAGGTAAATCTACTTTACTTATCAATCTCCATTTTTTTCAGTTACTTATACTGAAGATAATTTTCATAAATTTAAGCATTTCATAACCATTGTAGAATTGTTTTGAAGTTTAAGTTAATACATTTCTTAAAGCAGTTCTTCAGTTCTTCAAATTGACTTACAACTACTTTAATTCTTACTTTACTTCTTCTCTGCTTGATTAGTTTTATGGAATCATCTGAGGAAGTCTTACTTTTGAACCCAGTCCTTTAGATATGAATACCAGCACATTTAGAACAGTTTCCAAGAGCAAAGTATAAAGAATTTCTAGTATCCATTTATTGGATATTTTGATTTCTTGTGAAGGTGTCTATCAGTATGATAATTGGATATAATAATTTGGTGAAGATTTCTTGTCAAATGTTGCGCCAAAAACTAGTCGCCAAATTCGCTGCCAACTTGGCGATATCTCGCCGAATTATCAAGATAGCCATTTAATTAATGTTAAATAGACCTTGCCCCTATATTCTTATTTTTTTGTGGGCAGAGCATCATTTCTCTCGGGCTTTTAATGTTGCAGAGTACAGACATTAGATATTTTTTTGGAAGCAGGAGAGATGAAAATTGAGCAATGCCTTCGCCGGAAATCGAACCATGCATATCTGGAACACGCGCCCAGCATGCAGTCCACTACACCCAGAAGGCACGCTAAGAAGGCGGGAGAAATACCTTATATACTCCCCCTTTAAAAGGGCGACTGGAGTTTTTAGGGAGCCCAATCGCCAAATCCTGACTGTGGAGAATCATCATCCACCACTCTTTTAATTCGGGCGCTACTGTAGAGACATTAGGTATTTTTGGAAACAGACCAGATGAAAAATAAGCAACGCCTTCGCCGGGTATCGAACCGAGGACCTTTAGAATATGCGCCCAACGTGTAGACCACCACACCACGAAGGCACGCTAAGAAGGTGGGAGAAATACCTTATAACATTATATAAAAAATACAAAAATTTTACTATATTTATCTACCTATGTACAAAATTCGTAATGATATATGCAAGAAATGGGAACTTCTTATTTGTAGTCATAAAATCAGTAACTATTAGATAGTCCAAAATATTAAAGGATATCAGGTACTGAGTAATTTACAGGAGAGACGAGAAAATTAGGGGGGCAGCTATTACCATGGTACATGGCCGTTGTCAGAAACATTTAACTGTGAAACTGACCTCACTTTGCTTAAACTTCCTGCGTCCGGTGTAAATGATGTCTGCCCTTAAGGGGGGACAAACAGATTTGCAAAAATAAGTGAAAAAAAAATTATTTTCTTTGAAAGTATGTTTAGTTTACAGCCTACTCGCAGATTACAATTCCAAAAATGCAACAGGAGAAATCATTACAAATATCATCACTGAAGCGGAAGACGCCCACCAGCTGCTAAGAGGTAAATTAGTTGAACTCTGTGGCATAACCCAACCAACTCTTTTATTTCATTTTTAATTTGTTATTATATTATTTCTCTGTTTCACATGCCAATCTTATCTGTGTACCAAACACAGCTAAAATTTAAAAATAGTTACAATACACATAATTTTCAATACAATTTCACAGAGCCACCAAGTTCAAAATGATGTTTTAATGTAATAATTTATGTATTCTGTATTAATGTATGTATTTATGTAATAATTTATGTACGGAAAATAGTCATGTTACACGATATCGGACTGAAATTTAACCTAATGTCTTTTTCTAAAAGCGATTTTACCTCTTGGTCTTCATTGGAGTGTGATGAAATAGAAACAGTTAAGAGTTCACTTAATTAATGGCATAAAATCTAAATTGATTACTTTCTTTCCCTTAAGTGTTTATTAATTGCTTAGTAATCAAGCAACTGATTTTCTGTTTTTAATCTTATCCTGTATAAAGAACAACATTAAGCATGATTTTTCAGTTTAGTTTTTCAATAATGACCTAATAATTTCCACAAAGATGTTAATATATGAAGTGTTAAGTCGTCTTATCCAAATACAGGGAATTTTCATTAGACGATTTTTTGGAATCCATTGATATATATTTCTATTTCTTTAATGTAAAATTGAATAATCATGATAATTTTATATACGTAATTTTATGAACTCATAATAAAGAGATTATCTTTTGAAGTTCAAAATTCTAACAAAACTAGCTCCACATATTACTTTAATTTAATATTTAGGAAAATATTTCCTCCCGATATTCATTTCTAACTTTCTCACGATTCACGTTTCCTATCTTATTTTCTCTTTTTTTAAGTTGCTTTTATTATCGATAATAAGATTTGACTCTAGCCTTCGAAAACAAACTTTTCTCAGTATATGATGAATAAGGTTCGTTCAAAAGAACTCTGATTAAAAAAATTGGTAATCAAATACGCATTTCAAATGATTTCTTCATATATAGTTTTTAGCTTTTTTTTTAACTTAAAAAAGTCTTCTAAAAGTGCTACTTTCAGCTTGTTTTTCATCCATCTATGAATAAAGACGTAAGAAATGTGTCGGATGAACTAAAGAAAAATTTAACTCTTATATCGATTTTTTCATCAAAGGGCATTTAAGAAAATGAAATTGCTCTGAAAGTTACATTTCTTAGAAAAGTCGGAGAAAAAAATGTCCATTACTGATTTTCTATAGCTTTTCGCATACCCACCATTTGAAGCTCCCTTTCAAACGTAAAGAAGAATGATTTTCAAAGAATGTTAAAATATTTGATAGAAGTATTTGATAGCTAATTTAATTTCATAATTTCTGAAAATATATTTTAATTTTTCTTCTTCAGGAACTTGATGACTTTCATTACGCCACTTCTTTCTGTTCGTATCTTATCACAAATAATTTCAGTTTTTTAAGAAACATAACAAAGTTGACTGATAATACACATAGAGACCCCAAAATTCACCTGGTACCCCCAAAATTGATGAAATTACTGCTTTTTTCAGTTTTTTGCTAAAACGTACCTTAATACCCCTACTACACTAAAGAGAAATTCTAAAATAATATGACAATAATAAACGATATAGATGGCTTTTAAAAATTTTGACAGCCCTTAAAATGCCACACCCCATTAGTGTTTATTTTTTGTTACTTCTTAATTGATTCAGTAACTTATTAAAAATCAGTGTAAAAGAAGGGAAATGTGACTACAACCATCTGCAAACTCTGTTTATGCGTTAACTGATTTATGTAAATAAAGTTGGAAAAATGAATGTTTTTCACCATTAAACTGGCAGGTTTACCGCAAATATTTCTATGTGTATTATCAGTCAACTTTGCTATGCTTCTTCAAAAAGTGAAACTATTTGTGATAAGAAACGAAGAGAAAGAGGTGGCGTAATGAAAGTCATCAAGTTTCTGACTATTACACTAATAAAATAATCCTGAAACAAACGTTAAACTCTTTAATTAATTAAAATTGCAATCTATATACAAGAATAAATGGATAAAAGAAAAGAAGAACTCACATATGCTGCTGAAAGATTTTAAATCCGTTAAAATTTCAAATTTTGCTTTTTGAAAAAAAAACAATAAATAATATTATTAATATTGATTATAAGTGTTTAGAAAAGATATTATAATTAATACATGCATTGAAATTGTTTTGAACGAGTTGCAAAAAACAAAAACATGTAAAGAAAAATTCTACTTACATATTATAATTTTTTTGCAATTTTCTGCCCAGATAAGGTTTTGAACAAAAGCTTGTAATTTATGTTTATGTTAACCAACTGAACAGTACTAGGGGATATTTCATACATATGGGTGTGTACGAAAATTAAGTAACGTAAGTTTTAAAAAATTTGAAATGATTTAATGACCTATCAGAGAGTTTACATTCTTTAAAATGCGTCTTCTCAGTTCCCAACTTTTCAATAAATTCTTTTACATAACGTCTAAAACTTATATAGGTACGGACTTAATTATTTTTCCTGCTTGTTAAAATTATATACTTAAAAGAGACAAGGATGGATTTTTCAAAATAGCGAAAAGGAAAATTATTGTAAATGAAAATGTAATTGAGATCCTATTTCTTTCAAAGGTTTTACATAAAAATGTTGTTTTTACTTTTCTTTATCGGAAACTAATTCATCAACTGCAAAATAGATCCTTAAAAATACTAAGAACACTTCAATAAATGCAATAAAATATTTGGGGGATAAACATTGACAATTGTAAGAGAAGAAAGAAATTTTAATTGTTAAATTTTATTTCAAAATTTTTAATTTAAAAGCAAACTACTGGAAAAAGGTATATTTTTTAGATTAAAATCATTTCGTCTTACAATATAATTATATTCATAAAAATTAGATGAAAGTTCTTAAGTAAAAAATAAAAAATCTTTCAAAACCGAGTCCCCTTAACGGCACCGAGTCCCCTTAACGGTAAACCACTACACCCAGAAAAAGATGTATTTCTTTGTATAAGTGTAGTATAAGTTTTTGTATAAGTGTAGTGTATGTAAGTTTTTGTATAAGTGTAGTATAAATTTTTAATTGTTTTGTGTAAATATTTGTATAAGTGAATTTAAAGATTAAATGCTGAACACTGGTAGTTCTGACCTGGGTTCGATTCCAGGCGCAGGATCTGGGTGCATAGGCGTTTTCCTGGTTTTCTACATGCATCATGTGTATGCGATCCAATTTCCCTTAGAAAGTCGTCCACTAATGCATTCCTCCCCTTAAGCTGATAGACCTACTGTACTTTTCCGTAGTCAAATAAACAAAACTAAATCATTTAAAATTAAATGAAGAAAACACATAATAACTGCAATCACTTTCATCACAAATGTTATAAAATATACAAGATTTGGATTTCCTACGAAAGGACATGCGATCCTCAGTATAATATCTAACTGGTGTGAATATTTCAGTACAGTAGACAGGAATGGATTTAAAAGTTGTTTTTGTCTTCCTGCATTCTTGGCTGATGTTCCGTAAATAATTTAGAATATTGCATGCCAATGTAATATTTATTTTACACTGAGGTCTC